CAAAATGAATATTGAAAGGAAAATTGGCTTGATTTGCACAAACTTGATGTTTGATGCTTTCTCTCTTGTTTCTCTATGATTTCTTGTTGATCAAGGGCTTCAGAACTTGTTTAAATACACCTTGAATCACTTCTGAACGTTGGGGATAATTAATGAAGCCGTTTTAGTGTGAAAACAATTAATAAAATAGCTTGGAGCGTGGGGGGAATCAGTTCCTCCTCATAGGGAATCGATTCCCTAAGTGTAAAATTCAAATATTTCGACCGTTGAACAGGGGGAATCGGTACCCCCTATGGGGGAATCGGTTCCCTCTGAGCATTCTGGAAATCTCGGAGTCGAACCATTCAGGGGGGAATCGGTACCCCCTTGGGGGGGAATCGGTTCCCTTTGAGCAATCTGGAATTTTTGGCTTTGAAATGGTTCGAAATACTTTGAAAGATTATTTTGAAATTGTTTTAAGATTAAAACTTAATTTTACACTTAAGTAAGGATTAAAAATGATTTTTGAAATATTTTGAGTAATGTTTTGATATTCGAATAATTATATCAAATATACTTAGAAAATCATTTTGGAAAATCTTAAAATTCATTTAACTTAATTTGTTATATCGAAATATCAAAATGTTTTCAACAATCTCCCCCTTTTTGATATAACAAAACATTTTAGTAATTTTAAGATTTTGAAATCAAGTTTTGAAATTACTCCCCCTTACTTTAACACTTCTCCCATTTATCATTTTAAAAACACACTTAACACTTAAAACACACTTCTCCCCCTTTTTGTTAAATCAAAAAGATTCAAATAAACGTGAAAAAAATATTTAGCCAATTGATTAGGTATATGTATGCATAAGCTGCTAAGATCACAATCAAGAGAACCGTTAGCCATTAGTTCCATAATCAATATTCATAAACAATGTGATATGGTAAAATTGGTCATATTGCTAATAATGATGTAAATGATGCAATAATGAATAAATCACACCAAACATATAAGTTCACACCATCCATAAATTCAAACAAATTCACAATCCACAAATTCAAACATTCCAAAATATTCAAAATGTTAAAACAATAAGTTTGGAAAGTAAAACATTTAATCATATATCCGGATCAGGAGGAGGAAAACGAGCTCGCATAGCGGCCATTTCGTTAGTGAGGTCATTAATACGTGCGTTGGTTGCTTCATTATTTGCACGCATTTCCCGAAGAATTTCTAATTGTTGAGCTCCCATTGTGGATAAATGAGACTCTATAGAATTAAAGCGCGAATCCATGGTCGCATATCGGTAATCAAATGTCTCCATAAAAGATTGAAAATATGGAGGCATTTGAGTCGATTGTTGTGCTTACTCTTCGGGCTGCTCCTCGAGCTGCTCAGGTTCATCTCCAGCTTCATCGATGTCTCGCATTAATTGCTCGAGATCTTCGTCAGCTTCGGGTGGAGCTTGTGAAGAACTAGCTCCTGGAGTAGTTGCAGAAGATCGAACCCATTCACTGGTTTCTTTATTTTTGACCCATCCCGCTCTTGTTAAAGAAAGAAGATTGATTTGTTTCTTAAGAGGAAAAGCGGCATCTAGACCAACTCGAAGCTCGGCTTTAGAAAAGAGATTACTAAGGATACAACCGTAAACTAGTGAAGAACAGAGTTTCTTATTTGGCACTAGGTTAACAGTTTCAACGATCTCAGCAAAGATAATCTCGGAAAGGTTTATTTTCATGTTGTGTTCAAAACAATGCAACCACCAAAGGTCTAAAGCTCTAAGAGTAGAATAACGACCCCTGGATGGTCGAAACCACCAAGTGATCATGAGATGAAGAAAACGCTCATGAAGATCTAGAACACTTACACTATCATTCCGTTTATATCGTGAGCCTAAAACTTGTTTTTCATTTGATAAACCTTCATTATCCAAGCCTAAGGCATTGGCTATGTAATCCGGATCAAGATGAAAATATTGACCTAGGAGGTAGGAACGTACTCCTATGGTTTTGGTCTTGTCACAATTTTTGATACAAACGGCATTACAGTAGAAGATACGAACAAGTTGATGATAGACAACGGGTTCAAGTTCGAAAAGTTTATCAAATTTCCATTCATGCAAGATAGGGAGATATTTAAAGTTAATAGCAACCATAGTTTGAAGAGATGGGATACGTTCTTCCCTAATCTTATACGAGTCAAAATATTGGTAAAACCAATAACGATAATATTTAGGACCCGGTTGATTGAAACAAGAATTTTGGATAGTCAAGTTAGGATCCAGATTTGGAATAGGATTTGGAGGAATAGGAGGAGGATTTGGAGGTGGATTTGTTTGACGGTGTGAACGACTAGATGAAGACCTAGCACGTTTAGGATTAGACATGGTGAAGGAAATCGGAATTGATTGGATAACCTGCAATTTTAAAAACAAATGTATGCAATTTAATTAATCCCAAAACTCAATTGAGTCCTCAATATTTCAAGGTTCTCTAAATCAATCCTAATGGGCAAAGTTTTTGAAAAACTTTTGAAAAATATGGTTTTGAGAAACAATATATGTATAGTTTTCATAACAACAACATAATTTAATCAAAACACAATAATTTGAAAATTAACAATTTTTTTATTATTTCGAAAATTTAAAAAATTTTGGAAAATTCTTGTGTTTTTGATGAAATTAGTTGTAACATATAGTTTCTAATCACTAAACAATCAATGCCCCATCACTATTTCAACCTAGAACTAATTAAAACTAATCATATGTTCAAAAACAATGAAATAGAGAGTTTAGAAAAATTTACCTTGAAAGATGAAGATTGAGGGGATTTAGATGTTGTTTGCACGATTTTAATGACTCCAACAGGTTTAGAAGATGATATTTGAAGCGAATTCCGATCAATATCGTTGATTTGAGGTAAGAAAGGAGATAGGGAGAGAGTTTGGTCGGCAAGGAAGAAAATGGAGGGTTTTTACGTGTTTTGAAGGGTTCTGTCCGATTTTAACAGAACCCCAGGGGGGTATCGATTCCCCTGTGGGGGGGATCGGTTCCGCTTCAAAGGGGAATCAGTTCCCTTATGGGGGGATCGATTCCCTCTGCACCAAAATGCTAAAATCCAATTTTAAACACCCAAAATGCTAAATTAATTTTCTCTAGTGGTATTGGCAACTCATATATTGAAAAATAATTATGTTCAAACAACTAAATTAATCTTTAATTGATATTTGAACATAAAATTGATTTTTCATCAAGAATCATAAACTCCCCCTAACTAATAGCAATGAATGCAATCAAAAAATTACTATTATGAGCATTTTTCAGTATTTATTAAAAGTGTTAAAAAATATATTTCTAAACACTAAGTGAAGATAGGTTGGTCAAACCTAATTCTCTCCTAAGTGTCCAAAATCTTTCCTTGTCTAAGGGTTTTGTAAAGATATCCGCTAATTGATGCAGAGTATCAACATATTCTAGAACTACATCTTCCTTAGTGACATGGTCTCTAATGAAGTGATGTCTTATTTCAATGTGCTTAGTTCTAGAGTGTTGGATGGGATTTTTAGTGAGACAAATAGCACTAGTATTGTCACTCTTGATAGGAATGGTACCTACTTCAATTCCATAATCAAAAAGTTGTTGTTTCATCCATAAAACTTGTGCACAACAACTACCGGCTGAAATGTATTCCGCTTCAGTGGTAGATAATGCAACACAATTTTGCTTCTTTGAAAACCAAGAAATCAGCATATTTCCAAGGAATTGACAAGTACCGGAGGTGCTTTTCCTATCTAATTTGCATCCTCCATAATCCGCATCAGAAAAGGCATGCAAACTAAAGCTAGAGTCTCTAGGATACCAAAGTCCCAAACTAGGAGTGTCCTTAAGGTATCTAAAGATTCTCTTAACAGCTAGTAAATGTGATTCCTTAGGACATGATTGAAATCTAGCACATAAGCAAACACTAAACATAATGTCCGGTCTACTTGCAGTTAGATAAAGCAAAGAGCCAATTATTGACCTATATAATTTAACATCTACACATTTACCTCCTTCATCTAAGTCAAGGTTTGTTGAAGAGCTCATTGGAGTGTCATGAGGTTTCCTATTTTCCAGTCCAAACTTCTTGAGCATATCTTTGACGTACTTAGCTTGATTAATGAAGATGCCATCTTTTCTTTGCTTGATTTGGAGTCCCAAGAAAAATGAGAGCTCCCCCATCATGCTCATCTCAAACTCACTTTGCATTAGCTTAGAAAATTCTTGGCAAAGAACATCATTAGTAGAACCAAATATTATATCATCAACATAAATTTGAACTACTAATAAATCTTTACCTTTATGCTTTAAAAACAATGTAGTGTCAACCTTTCCTTTTGAAAAACCTTTTTCAATTAAAAAATTTGACAATCTTTCATACCAAGCTCTAGGAGCTTGTTTTAAACCATAAAGAGCTTTTGTCAATTTAAGAACATGATCTGGAAATTTTGAATCTTCAAAACCTGGAGGTTATTCCACATACACTTCTTCTTTTATAAAACCATTTAAAAATGCACTTTTAACATCCATTTGATATAATTTAAATTCATGAAAACATGCAAATGCTAATAACATTCTAATTGCTTCCATCCTAGCTACGGGAGCATATGTTTCATCATAGTCTATGCCCTCTTCTTGAGTATACCCTTGAGCAACAAGTCTAGCCTTGTTTCTCACTATATTACCACTCTCATCAAGCTTATTCCTAAATACCCATCTAGTACCTACAGTAGATTTATTACTAGGCCTTTCAACTAATGTCCATACTTTACTTCTCTCAAATTGATTTAACTCTTCTTGCATAGCCATAATCCAATGTTCATCATTTAATGCTTCTTTAATATTCTTAGGCTCTATGCATGAGATAAATGCAACATAATTACAAATATTTCTAAGAGAAGATCGAGTTGTTACCCCTTTTGATGGATCACCTATAATTTCACCATCCTTGACATAGTTGTACTCTCTTGGATAAGATACTTCCCTTTCTTCAATGGTTGGATTCTCAAGAGGATCATGAGTTTCCTCATTTTTCGTTTCTTCCTTTGATGATGGTTCTCCAACTTCATGTCTAACATTATTTGTATTTATAACATCTACATCATCATTCACACAAGAATCCTTCCTTGGAAGGGGATTATCATCGAAAACAACATGTATAGACTCTTCTACAACTAAAGTTCTTTTATTAAATACTCGATAAGCTTTAGAATTCAAGGAGTAACCCAGAAAAATTCCTTCATCACTTTTAGCATCAAATTTGCCAAGGTTTTCTTTACCGTTGTTTAAAACAAAACATTTACATCCAAAAGGATGAGAATAGCTAATGTTAGGCTTTTTATTTTTGAAAATTTCATATGGAGTTTTCTTTAAAATTGGCCTAATCATTACTCGATTAACAACATAACAAGCAGTATTTGTGGCTTCCGCCCAAAAATATTTTGGCAAATTATTTTCACAAAGCATGGTTCTAGCCATTTCTTCTAAAGTTCGATTTTTCCTCTCAACAACTCCATTTTGTTGAGGGGTTCTAGGTGCTGAAAAATTATGACTAATACCATTAGAATTACAAAATTCAATAAATCCAAGATTTTCAAATTCAGTGCCATGATCACTCCTAACACTAGTTATAGAGTAACCCTTTTCATTTTGGATTATTTTTGAAAATGTGATGAATTGTTCTAATGCTTCATCTTTAGTACTTAAAATAGACCCAAGTATATCTAGAATAGTCATCTACCAAGACAAATGCATATTGTTTTCCACCCAAGCTAGTAGTCCTAGTTGGCCCAAAAAGATCTACATGGATCAATTGTAATACTCTACTAGTTGATATGTCATTAATGGATTTAAAAGAAACACGCTTTTGTTTTCTTTTAGCACAAGCATCACAGATTTTATCATTATCAAATTTAAGCTTAGGCAACCCTCGAACTAAATCACCTTGAATTAGCCGTTGCAAAACACTCATACTAGCATGTCCTAGTCTCCTATGCCATAACCAACTATCATGTTCATCTTTAGCAACTAGGCATAAATTAGTCATATCAAAAGAATCTAAATGCACCATGTAAATGTTCCCTATTCTATGATCAACAAGCATAATCCGATTAGATACAATGTCAATGACTTTACAACCATTAATTTCAAATAAGACATTGAATCCTTTATCGCATAATTGACTAATACTCAATAGATTATGCTTTAATCCATTCACATATAAAACATTCTTAATTTGTATGGAAGAGGTATTACCTATTGTACCAATACATTCAATGTGACATTTTGAATTGTCTCCAAAAGTCACTTCTCCTCTATTTTTGGCGTTAAGCTCAATGAACCGGCTTTTGTCTCCGGTCATATGTCTTGAGCATCCACTATCAAGGTACCATGAATTTGAATTTGTTTCCCGTGCCTTGTAGCAATGCTCCTTTCCCTACAAACATAGATTAATTTTTTATTTTTGGTACCCAAATTCTTTTGGGTCCATATTCATTAGTTTCCAAAATCCTAGTCCCCCTAGGTATCCATTTGTGTAGGATATTTTTTATCTTTAGTAGTAATGAGTTCTTTAGGAACCCACATACTTCTAATAATTTTTCCATTAGAGGTTCTTTGGGGACCTCTATGATTGTAGTTTCTAAAACTTTTTCTAACAAAGTTGGATTTTGAATTTCCACCTTTTTCAAAATGTTTTGTTCCAGCTTTATCAAAAGAAGTTTTAAGATCATCAATTTTCTTTTGATGATCATCATTGATCTTTGAAAGTAAATTTTGCAAATCTAAATTTTTCTTTTCAAACTCTTCTAGTTTGATTTGCAAATCTTTGATTTTACTTTCAAGATCGTTGTTGGTTTTGGATATGAGTTTGTTTTCATTTTTCAATTTTGAAACATCATTTTTATATTTTAAAAAATAATTTCTCATAATCCGAAGCCAACCCATTTTATTCCTCTAATAACTCATCATAGGATAAATCATCAAAATCAGATGAGTTAGAGGTTACCTTAGAATCTTCCCTAAATGCCATCAAGCACAAGTTAGCTACTTCTTGTTCCTCTTCATTGGAACTTTCTTCATCGCTCCATGTAGCAACATGAGCCTTGTGCTTATTCTTTGATTGACCCTTTTTCTTCAATTGTGGGCAATCATATTTAACATGCCCTGGCTTTTTGCATTCATAGCAAATGATTGGGTCCTTCTCTTTCGGTTCATTTTTGAGGCCTTCATTTCGTTTGAATTTTCTTCCTCGATAAGGTCTCATCATTTTTCTGAACCGTTTGGCAAACAATGCCATTTCCTCGTCATCGTCATCGTTATTCGAATCACTCTCATCTTTTATGGATTTGAGAGCAACTCCAATGTTTTTCTTCTTCTCCTTCTCCTTTGGTGTCTCGTCAATTTTGTCGAGGTCCACCTTATCTTCGAGCATCATTTCATGAGTGAGGAGTGACCCAATTAGCTCTTTAAGAGTTAAGGACGTTAAGTCCTTAGACTCGATGATTGTCGTCTTCTTTGATTGCCACGATTTTGGGAGGGAGTAGACTAACTTCCTCACAAGCTTTTCATTTGAAATGATCTCTGCATATGATTTGAGACCATTGAAAATCTATCCGTCATAGCTTTGATATCTTTATTTGGTTTCATCCTGAAATTTTCATAGCTATGCGTTAGAATACTAATTTTAGATTTCTTTACCTCATCGGTACCTTCATGAGTGACTTGAAGTTTGTCCCATATTTCTTTGGCGGTTGTACACGATGAAACTCTTCCGTATTCATCTAGTCCAAGAGCACAAAAAATGATATGGATGGCTTTGGAGTTGAGCTGGAACATTCTTGTCTCTCCTTCACTCCACAACCTTGGATGAGTGAGAGGTTTGATGTATCCTTCTTCTACAACATTCCATGCTCCCATGTCACTTGCTTGAATGAAGTACATCATTCTATTCTTCCAATAGGCATAGTTAGCTCCATTGAAGAAAGGAGGCTTGTTGACGGGCATCGAATCGAGACCGGAGTCGAAGTTTGAAGCGGAGGCCATTGATGACTTTGATAATCGATATAACTCTTCCCGAATCGACTCAAGAGGCGATTAAACCTTCAAATGAGTTAGACTCTGATGCCAATTGTTGAGTTAATCGATCGACGGAATTAGCCAAGAGGGGGGTGAATTGGCAATTAAAAATTCGGTGGAAGCTTTTGCAGAAAATTGAAAAGATTTGCACAGCGATTTAGAGTGGTTCGACTTTCTCAATCAAAGTCTACGTCCACTACCTTAGCTATCCACACTAAGGATTTTCCAACAAATTCACTAATTTGTTCTTTCTTTTGAGGCCAAAGAGATAACCTTACAACACCCTCAAGAATATACCCCAATTCTTGAGAACACTCTTTTCCCAAAGAGAAGATTACAAATTTGCAAACTTACAAGGAAAACCTCACAAGGTAAGATGTTTGCACAATTCTAAAACAAGAAAAGAACACTCAAAGTTAATTACAAATGAGCACAAATGGTGTTCTTGAAAGCAAAATGAATATTGAAAGGAAAATTGGCTTGATTTGCACAAACTTGATGTTTGATGCTTTCTCTCTTGTTTCTCTATGATTTCTTGTTGATCAAGGGCTTCAGAACTTGTTTAAATACACCTTGAATCACTTCTGAACGTTGGGGATAATTAATGAAGATAATATAGCCGTTTTAGTGTGAAAACAATTAATAAAACAGCTTGGAGCGTGGGGGGAATCAGTTCCTCCTCATAGGGAATCGGTTCCCTAAGTGTAAAATTCAAATATTTCGACCGTTGAACAGGGGGAATCGGTACCCCCTATGGGGGAATCGGTTCCCTCCGAGCATTCTGGAAATCTCGGAGCTAAACCATTCAGGGGGAATCGGTACCCCCTTGGGGGGGGAATCGGTTCCCTTTGAGCAATCTGGAATTTTTGGCTTTGAAATGGTTCGAAATACTTTGAAAGATTATTTTGAAATTGTTTTAAGATTAAAACTTAATTTTACACTTAAGTAAGGATTAAAAATGATTTTTGAAATATTTTGAGTAATGTTTTGATATTCGAATAATTATATCGAATATACTTAGAAAATCATTTTGGAAAATCTTAAAATTCATTTAACTTAATTTGTTATATCGAAATATCAAAATGTTTTCAACAGAAATGTCCCGAAGGACCGCGTAGAACCCTCGACTCTTGGCATGCCAATTACACCCTTATCTCTCATATCACATAACATGGGCTTTACCATTTATCACAATTCACATAACTTATATCACATAGGCATGTAATCTCATAGCTTATTATCACATAACTCATGTAACATTCTCATATGGTCACATAGATCATAATTACCATATAACATATATCACATAGGTTCATATCACATAACATGTAATGCAACAAGGCATGTTCACATAATATAAAAATCATAATCATGCTTCTACTCATGCAACCATATATCCAAAATATCAAAAAACGGATTTTCCGCAAGTATAATTTCCATATAGAAATACATATATTCTAATAGTATACACTCACCTGGCCTCATTAGTCCAATCAAGCACCTATGACTCTTGAACACTTTTATAGCTTTGGATCATCTTGGATTTTCCTTTGATCGATATCTACACAAACATGTGACTTATATAAATACCAGATTTTGAATTACTAATAATCAATCATTCAAACTAAATCTTAAAGAGACACTTGATTCACAAATTCCATATGAATAGTATCGATACCCATGGTACAGTACCGATACTTCTCAACTGTGGTATCGATACCATATCTCAGTATTGATACCCTTATTACATATTGGAATCCATCCTTGAAAATGGTATTGATACCATTAATATAGTATTGATTCCCTTGCTATCGATGCTACTCCTCTAGTATCGATACTACATTACTGATTCATTTAATTTCACCATATGGTATCGATATTGTTCTTCCAGTATCGATACCCTAACCCAAATATCATCTATTTTTTGCTTTGGAGTATCAGTATTGTTCATCCAGTACCGATACCCCTTGCCCAGAATTCACTCCTTAACCCAAAATTTTACCAAAACTTATACAAAATCCATACTTTGAACTCCTTTCAACACTTCAAACTCAATTACACTCACCCAAACCATCTTATATCATTATAACGCATCCTAGTACTCAATAACTTACCATAACACTTGAAAATAAGAATCTTACTAAACTTTCAAGTTTGATATAAATCCTTTCTAACTTCATAAATCTCTTATTTCTACTGATGACAAGTCAAATATGGCTTCAAACTTCACTTACTAACTCTTTCTCAAAATTTCATTCAAAAACCCCTTTTCTTTAATCACTCATAATTTGTAATTCTTGTAGTTTTATAACCCTTTAAGCTTTCCTTAAGCTTATGCATCACCCCAGAGACCAAAACTAAACTTAGAATTCAAGAAACACTTAATTTAAAACATACTTACCTTAGGTATAAGTTCACGGTGGAGAGGACGAAGGAAGGATGAAGAAAGAGAGAATTCTAGATTTTCAATTAACTCTCTTCTCTCACTCCACGTGTTTATAACACCATTAGATGATTTTTTTTAATTCATCTTCTTTCTAAATGACCAAATATGACCTTCCAACTTCATTTCTTTGCTATTCACTCCTACACAAATAATTTTAATTAAATCCCTAAACTTTTCAATTTATCTAATTTGATCATAAAATTTTAAAATCTTGCAATAAGGCCACTAACTCGATGTTTGGGATGTTACAAAATGAACATGTTCATGAACATGTTCATGAACATGTTCATGAACATTAAATGAATATGTTCGTGAACAATAAATAAACAAACACGAACACTTTAAAAAAAATAGATGAACGCGATATTAAAAAATTAAACGAACATGAACTGAACATAAACACCTTCAAAAATAAACAAATGAACATAGACATAACCTTGTTCGTTCAAGCTTTGTTCATTTACACCCCTAGCGTTAGTCAATGGCCCACATTGGATTCTTTTTCTAAGTTTGAGAGTCATATTGAGAGAGAAATGAATTGAGGGTCACATTGATTTATTTTTGAAAAGTACAAGGGCCTCATATTCTATTTTTCCAAAATATTATAAACAATAAATTTATGAATTTGATTATGATTATGATATAGATATAGATTTTTAGTTTTCTTAATTTTAAATGAATACTAATAACAAATTTATTATTATGATTTAATTTTAAAGGAAGTTGAATGGTTTTAGGCTAGATTTACTGAGTCTGTGATATTTTACGATGAAACAAACACTAAATTCTCATTTAAGAGGTTAAAAAAGAATGAATCGCAAATTTTAAGGTCCAAAGATTGTAGACGACGAGGATTGATGACGACTAATGGCAACAGTGGTGAGTTGTGACCAATGGTGGGAGACTTTGATTGAATTTAAGGGTTAAATTAGTATGTTGTCTAAAGTTTAAGAGTAAAAAATGACATTTCATCTAAAGTTTAAATGGTTAAACTAGTATTCTTTCTAAAGTGTAATTGTAAAAAAAATCCTCTTTTACTAGCGTGCTACGCCATTAAACTATAAGGAGTTAACAATTTAGTGACTAAAATATAACAATAGATATCGTAAGTGATCAAAATTTAATGAATCAGTAATATAAATAACCAAAATATAACTTTCAAAATCTATTGAGCAAAAGTGTAAAAATATGAAAGAATTGATCATTCCGATAGTTTACCATTTTTTTAATAGTCCGAAAGTTTAGCCTTAAATATAATATATTGAAAAATAAACATTTTTATATAATTTTTGCAAGGGCAACTCTATTGGATACTATCAAACTTTAGGCATTTTATCGTTTATACCATTGAACTTTCAATTTTATCAATTATAACAATGAACTTTGATTTTTGTTTTACTTATACAACTGAACCGTTAAATCGTTAATGACACGATGATGTGGCTGACGACTGCCAACATGGATGACGACTGTAGAGGTAGACACCTCACCAAAACGACATCGTTTCAATCCTATGTTAACGATTTAACAATCCAGTGATATAATTGAAACAAAAATCAAAATTCAATACTATAATTGGTAAAATTAAAAGTTCAATTATATAAATGATACAACGTCTAAAGATTGGTATATATGGTGTAGTTTACCCTTTGATCAATTACTTGAAAATAATTTTATTATTAAAAAAATATAACTTCGGCAACATCGAGAGCGCATACACATTAGTTCCGATTATAACCACCCAAACAAACCACCGCGCCGTAACGCCACATGGACATAATATTATCAACAATATTTTAAGAGAAAAATCAATTTAAAAAATAAATAAGAACAGAAGCAAAATACCTCTCAACTTTTTCGTATTCTCTCTCTTAGTTGTTTTTATGTGGGAATAGTGGTTTAGGATTTGTCTGTTCTTCTTTGTGGCGAAGGATCCGCGAAGAAATGCCGTTGACAAGGTATCAAATTAGGAACGAGTTCAGCTTGGCCGACCCGGAGCTCTATAGATCTGCCGACAAGGATGATCCCGAGGCTTTACTTGAAGGCGTTGCCATGTCTGGCCTTGTTGGTGTTTTGCGCCAGCTCGGTGACCTCGCCGAGTCAGTCTCTCTCTCTCTCTCTCTCTCTCATGCTTATCAGATTGGTTGAATTTCATTGGTTTGTCAGTATGCTTATTTCTCTGCTTCCTTGCTTTAAGCTCGAGGTTATAGAAACAATTAAAATCTGTTAGATACTGTTTTCAAGTGTACAGAATCTTAGTTTTAGTTCATGCCATTTGAATCCGAGACACACTTGGAATTTTCTTACCTAGTGTGTTATCGATTTCGCTATCCAAACGGTAAGTTTTTAGGATTTAACGTTCTCTGGTTTAGGTTATTTGTGACGATCACCAATTTAGCACTTTGGATTCTGAACCTCAATTGAAACTAATCTGCGTCAATTTCGGTGTTTTTCCCCGTAATGCATTAAATTGAAACAATGCATGTCACAAATTTCTGCATAGACTTGGATTCATGGTTCAAGTATGATTGTACGTTTACTATAGATTGCTATTGGAGTTTTAGCACTCTGTGGCAATTTTCATGTGTTGCTTTTGCTTTCTACCTTCTGTCTGCTTTTTAAATTGTTTTTCCTTGGTGATTGACAAAAAGGTTTGCTGCTGAGATATTCCACGACTTGCATGAAGAGGTAATGGTAACTGCTGCGAGAGGCCATGCTCTAGTGGCCCGAGTTAAACAAGTCGAGGCAGAGTTCCCTTCCATTGAGAAATCATTTTTATCACAAACCGATCATTCGTTATTCTTTACCAGTGCAGGTTAGGTTCAAAATTTCACTAACACATTTATACATGTTGGATTTGGCTCTTACCCTTGGTCCTGGATCATTATTATCATAATGGGGCATTTTGGCATACGTGCTAGTTTCATATGTTGTATGTCTTTTGTACTTGATTGTAATATTGGGAAATAGATCTATTCCTTTTGAAACAACTATAGTAGATTCCAGGGGTTGAGTGTCTGGTGCCTGCAACATGGGTATTACATTTCCCCATGTTCTATCAACACTTAGAGGGGAAAACAAGTTTGTTTACCTAACCAAAAGATACATCTTTCAATGTCTTTGTCCTGGTGGAGATTGTCATGTAGTTAGTATGCACGGATTCATTTACATTGACATGCAATAATGGAATGGATAGGAAATGTGATCATGGCATACAATGAGTCATCTTTAAGTGATGAAGCTAAGCGGTTCTATTTACTTATGGTTTTGAAGCAGAATATTTGAGTTTACCAGAACAAATACATTATCTACTAAACTGGTCAGGAAATGTATTATCCTTTCTCAGGTGTTGACTGGCATCCTAATCTGCGCACTGAACATAATCTTATCACTCATGGAGACTTACCTCGCTGTGTGTTGGATTCTTATGAGGAATGTAGGGGCCCACCACGGTTGTTCCTCTTGGACAAGTAAGATGACTTTACTGATCTTAAGTTTAGTATTTTGTTGCAAGTTCTTTTCTTACCAATAGAGAATATTCTAATAACTTGTTCCAGATTTGATGTTGCGGGTGCTGGGGCATGTTTAAAGCGTTACAGCGATCCTTCATTTTTTAAAGCAGAATCAGATTTTCCTGAAATCGCGCCATTAGAGGTTCAGAGAGGAAAGAAAGCGCGGAAAGTGAAGGTACTAACATAAAATAAATAAAAGATCACAGAAAAGATCTGGTTAGATTTCTTTGTCGGGGCAAGTTATTTTACCAATTAGCAGTTTTGTCTCATCTATAGCAGAAATCGGGAGATAGGTCTGTAGAATGACCCTAACCTTTTACCTCTTAACAAATAAACCTGTACTTGGTCTTTAGAATGGCCCTAAGACCTTTCACTGGGAAAAGTGTTCCATTATTGTTGAGTTACTTTTTTCATCATCATTTCATGATGGGCAGCCATGAGTTTGAGTGAGCAGATCATAGAAAGGTTTGTGATTAGCTCCACTTCCAAACTTAAAATATCTGGTTTAAGTGTGCTTTCATGTTAGCAGCATGCTTTGTATCTTTGGTCCTGCTCTTTTGAGGTGCCATATTTGCATTTGTGGTAATATACACCAGTTATATTGAAGTAATAATTAAGTTGCTTCTCACCTGCATGGAGCATTCTATTTCCTTTTATATATCACAAAACAAAATTATTAGTTAAAGGCTGGCGCTGAATGGTAACTTTTTGGCGCAACATGGTTTTAGTAATCAGCACAGAAGTTCTTTTTAGCTTGTTGTGGTAAATGGTATTTTTTCCTGTGTCCTTATTGTCTAGTTTTTTATTTCTGGCAGAAGAAAGGATCACGCTGGAAGAATGGGGAGACTCCCGAATTTCCACAAACATCACATGCGAAGTGAGTCCTTCAATTCTTCATCTGTGCCTTTCATCTTTCTTCTAATTGTTTTAATGCACATATTAAAGTTTTAGTATGGTATCTTGGTAACTGAATTACTTTCTAATAGTGCAGATTACATCAACTGTTTTTGGAGGAACGTATTGAGAATGCTTACAATGACCCTGCCTGTCTTGCAAAACTTAAAAGACGACAATTAAATGAATCTCCACTTGACTCAAAATCTGGGAAAACTTACATGGAGAAATTCCTGGAGACTCCATCACAAAATAAAGCTGTTTACGAGATCTCTGGTACTCCGTCTCTGGGGTTGACAGTGGATAATTCTAGTGTGTCCGGACCTAAAACACTTGATATTAGTACAGTGGGTCCTGTAGAAGTCTCTTCACAAGGAAAGGAAACCTTGATTTCTTCACCTACTGTACATGAAATTGTACTGAAACCATCCATTGAAGAGTTGAATGAAGATGCCATTGATAGAGAGATTATGAAGGTGCCAGAACCAACTGTTGATTTCACAGATGGAATACCCCATCCCCTTTATAAAGTAAAAACTGAAGAGGAGATAATAGTAGATGGAGAAAGCATAGAAGAATGCAATATATATGGGGACCATTCCGATGGCATGACCAGTGAAGCTGACAATTTCATTGATGCAATTACTACCATGGAGTCCGAAATGGATATGGACAATGAGTATAGACCTAAGGATGGTATTGACCTCATGGATATTGGGAAGTATCAAACGGGTTCCCATGCAAACGAGGAAAAGCTTGGGGTCCAAGCCCATTCATCAAATTCTCAATTGGATGAGATCTCCTCTCTGTCTGATACTACAGACAATCTGGCTAAAGATATTCCGTCGGATGGTGAAGTAGCAGCAGAAATGTTCCCTTTGAGTAGAAACTGTGTTACTGAGATTGGTGAGGCACCTCCTATACAGCTTTGCTTGGAGATGCAATATCCCAATTCTGATCAGGTTTTGTTACCGAAAGATACTTCTTTTGGTGAACATTGTCTTCCTGATCTTGGAGAAGCTTCTCATATTTCATGTCTGGAAGGTTTGAACTCTACACATATTTTGTTGGATGAACCATGTTCAGTGACAATTCCTTTGCTGGAACAACATCATGAGGAAGTATCCTCTGATGGTAAAACTAATTCTAATTTTTCAGAAGCTGATGGTGGAGAATATTTGGATGATTCTTTGGAAGTTATTTTTGCTGATTCTTCTGAGGAACAGGTTACTTTGATCACTCTTTCTTCTGAAAGTCATCCAGTGGATGAGTTGGGCTGTGGGAACACATATGTCTCTTCTGATGCTTTGCCACATTTATTGAACGTTTTACCGGAAGCTCCTGAAAAGGGAAGTGACAATGATCTTTTAGATGGAGTTGTTAAAACAGATTTTGCTGGGAAAATTTGTGCTGAAAATTCAGTCAACCAACCAAACTGCGTTTTTTCACCAACAGAAAAGCAGCGACTTTGTTCAACCTTGGCTGAAGGAGAAAGATGTTCTGGTATTATACTGTCACCTGAACATTTGGATGTTGTGAATCCTATCACCTTAGTTTCTGAGGTCAGTGATGCTACTGTAGAAGTGGATGTCAACTTGGAGTGTATAACTCCTGTGGTGGATACTTCACAGATTTGTGACTTCAATGAACAGCAATTTTCAGACATATTACATCATGATCCAAAAGTTGAAGCTGACCTAACAGAGATAGATGCTTCATATTCTGAACAGAAACAAAATGTTGATGAACTTTGTGATGCTACAGAGGGAGAAGTAACTAGGGAATTTACTCGCAGTGGGAATGTGGTGGAAGAAGATGCTATCCCTTGTGATCTTGCATGTAATTGCACTGATGATTTGAACCCCAAGGATCATGGGGATTTAGATGATCTGGCAACTGAAAATGTTCATGCTGAAAATATTGCATTATCAACCGCTGCTTGTGATTCTACCGAATTTGATGATGATGTTGATAATACTAAATATCACTCTTCAAATGTGATTTTCTCTCCATCTGGAAAACTAATGAATTCGGAAGAGTCTCTTGCTGGTGATGGAGATATGTTTCATGAAGGATTGGAATCGAATGAGGTTGTTTCTCAGGAATGTCTCATAGAGTTAGAGACACGGGAAGAAACAAATCAAGTGGTAGGTACTCCAGCAGATTTAGATTCCACTTCATGCAAGTCAGACTCTTACAACAAATCCAATTTAGAAGATGAAGTCCACTATTTGTCTTTTGCTGAATCAACCAAAGATAGTTTGGATTTGGTTGATTTAACCGCTGTACCTGCTTCTTCAGAATTCAGTGATAACGAGTCAGAATTGAAATACTCAAGTCGTCTAATGGAAAGTGGGGAAGACACGGTGCCCTCACCTACCCATTTCCAATCAGAAAATGAAAATTCTCTAGTACAGTCATTAGACATCCATATTAATCAACATGTGGAAAAGCTGCACATAGTTGAAGGTGGTTCAAAACAAATACAATCTTTGGATCACATAGATCAGGAAAAGTGCCTGCAAACTTCTTTTGAACATTCCAAAGAAGGCTCTTTAAACCAATCTTCATTAGATTTTTCAGAACAATCAGGTAGGCAGGATAAACAAGAAAGTTATCCATCTGATCTTATTCATCCTGCCACTTGCCTGCACCCTGAGGCAACCAAAGCTATCATGGAGGAAATGCCACCATTGCCACCTCTTCCTCCAATGCAGTGGAGGATAGGGAGAGTTCAACATGTTTCTACAGGTCCTCAAAGAGAATTTGTAGAACATGGTCAGGGGTCATTGCCAATGATACCACAGTATGGAACTGGTGAGAGAGCTCAATTTGGTTTACCAGCGTTGGAGCAGGGGTTTGAACAACCCAGAAACCCATTTTTACCTCTTGTGGATGGTGAAGAGAGGTCTGGCAATGCGCCTGATCAACTGGCAGCTGATTTCATGCATCCCAGTCCTTTATCTATGAATTCAGCAACTATGGCTAGCAACAGTAATAGCCAGTACAATGGTTTCTATTTCAATAGAACACACTCAAACCCATTTTTAACAGTAGCCACAACATCTAATGAAAACCTTGAATATGGTTCCCTTGCTATGGATGGTCATAGGTTAGAATCGAGTTACTTGTTGACGATGCAACCTACTGATGCAGCTTGTACACATACTCCTCTATCTTTGCATGGGGAAACAGCAAATTGTCCAGATCAGTTTGTAGTGGATACAAGTTTAGAAGGTGGGGCATTTCAGGAACCTATACAACATTTTGATCCAGAACATGGGAATCCTCCTGATGTATCTGTGCCCCTACCAACTAAGACAGAGGAGCAGATTACAGCCAAGGTAGCGGAGGATCTTCCTACCAAAGTAGAGGAGCAGTTTCCAACCAAGGTAGACAAGCAGCCTCAGCATGGTTTGGCAGCTTCTGGGGGAGAAAAGGCAGAGACACCAAATGCCATTGTTCGGCATGGCTTGGAAGCTCCAGAGGGAGAAACTTCTCAGATAAATACAACTCTAGAGCATGATTTGTCAATTTCAGAGGGAGAGGCAGCATGGCCCTCAAATACGCTAGCTTTAGTACAAGCTGCTGAAGAAGGAAAGTCAAATGTGAATCCACCTGTTAAACTTCCCCGACCTCGCAATCCTCTCATTGATGCTGTTGCTGCTCATGATAAAAGCAAGGTGATTATAGCCTTGCGTTTCAATTTTTTTTAAAAAATCTCTTCCAGTTTGACTGTTTCTTGTGAAGTAACAGTTAAAATTTTCTTCAGTTGAGAAAGGTAACCGAGCAGAATCGACCTCCAATCCTTTCTAAGATAGATGAAAGAGATTCATTGCTGGAACAGATACGAACAAAGGTTAGATCCAGTAAACGCTGACATTCTTTTTGTTCCCTTTTTAAGAGAGATGGAGAGAAATGAGTTTAATAGTGGGAAATGCATTGGTTGTATAAACTTGAGGTGCGAGGGCTGATTTATTTTGTTTTATACAGTCCTTCAACTTGAAGCCTGCAGTGGTGACCAGAGCCCGTGTTCAGGGTCCTAAAACCAACATACGAGTTGCAGCAATCTTGGAGAAAGCAAATGCAATTCGCCAGGTTTGTATTTGTCCTGATCTTTCTTCCGTCTGTTATGTTACGGCCATGCTAGAAGTGTTCAATTTTATTTTTCTTTTAAATCATCTCTTAAAATAGGCATTGACCGGAAGTGATGAAGACGATGATGAAGATGGTTGGAGTGATTCTTGAAAGGACTTGCATGATGACACCTGTAGCTGTGATTTGATTAAAATGATCGATCAAATAGTAAATTATGCATCATCATGAATAGGAAATATGTATGGTATATTCTTTGACTCAGGATTGTCATTCTGTTGGTGTATGATATTTTGCTCATTTACGTGTATTTCACTTACACAATGCCTATATAAAATGCTTATACAAGGAATGGTTTGAAATCCATGGCTGAGCCTGTGGAACTCTTGGCTGCGTCCATTCTGTAATTTTGAATGCGATTTATAGATGGTTACATTATAATTTTTAGGGTAAACTATATCAATGATCACTTATTTATAAATCCTTTTTACTTTAACCATCGATCTTTTAATTTTGTCAATCAGACCATTTAATTATTTAAATTATGTCAATCAAGTCACTTGTTTTTAATATTGAATGGAGGCATAATTCTAAAATTAGTCCTAGTGTTTATTAAAATGATCATTTTGGTCTTTATTTTTCTTTAAAGCATTTGAATATGAGATTTCACTTTTGGGGGAGAATTCTCTTTATAGATGAAAATTATTAGTTGACACACAATAAACGTTCCAAATAAGTGTCTTTTTAATCTAAAATCAAACGTTAAGGGTTAAAATGCCCCCAAAAATAAAGAATAAGAGACAAAGTGATTATTCTGTCAAATGTTGTAGTTCTTTTTTTCTAAAATGAAGCATTAAGGGCCAAAATGCTAAAAAAATAGAATAGAGATAAAATGATCATTTTGATAAACATTGGGCCTTAACTTTAGCATTATACCTCTAACGGAAGTTCAGATGTGACAATTAACAAAATCAGTATAATTCTATAATATTTTCCTTCTAAACGTATGGTGTGTCACCATATGAAGCATTGAGCTAACTTCATCATCTGTGTTTTTTTTTATTAATCTGAGTAAGTATAATGTATCTGTTCAAAGATAACTCTAAACTATTTGACATTGTTCGTTCGTACCCCTGACATTTTCAGTGCTCGAATCCGGGACCTCAAAGAATAACAACAATTCCTTTACCGTCAATATCATAGGAGTACGTGCAACATTTGGGCGGAATAGGACAAATAATCCAGGCGGGTGGATTATTTAGCCCAATAGGGCAACAGGAAATTTATTTTGGGATCTATAGCAAATACTACAGTGTCCATTGAACTCGTCATCCCGGCGTGACGAGTTCCATGAGATATATTTTTTAATGGGTCGTGTCACGTGGGTCCCACAACCCAAATTTATTTAATATATCCTAAGGGACTCGTTATGCCCGCGTTACGTGTCCTAATAAAAAATATTTTTTAAAAAAAAAATTAAAAACATTGTAAAAAATATTATTTTATTGATGAAGGCGTGACGAGTTCCAACGGGTATAATTTGAATTTGTTGACGTTGGATTGATCGTTGTTGAACGGTCAAAATTTTTAAAAAAAATTCAACGGAACTCGTCACACCGGTGTGATGAGTTCCAATGACTATTTTCAATTTGACAAAAACTAACCGTTTATAGCCGTTGGATAGAGTATAAATAGAGGTTTAGGTTGGATTGGTTTTTCACTTGGAATCAAATGTTCTATTGAGAGTAAAAAAAATTTTGTTGAAGATTTTGTGTTGAAATGCCTCAAGAGAAGAAATGTTACGTCTTGATGATGTTCATATTTCATCAACCGAGTTAACTACGGTAAATTTAATTTGTTTTATTTCATTTTAGTTTTGACAAAATTATAGTATTAATAATAATTATATATGTAATTGTATTAAATAATTTATTTTCAAATTGTAGCGAGAAGAACGAGGCATTCGTCATCGATGAACGACAAATGAAGAGCCACATCAGCGGATGGTGATATATCTTTCACAATCCGGATTATATGGAGCGACGTTTCTTGGAACATCCCAAACTATGGGTTAGTGACTAAATGGTAAAGTTTCAGAAATTTGGTGATTAAAGTAGAAGAATGGATTAGTTCAATGATTTATCTGGAAATAAATCCTAAAAGTTGTTAGTAATTATCAAATGAAGTAGAGGGCAAAATGGTAATTTAACTAATAAATGAATTAAAAATATATATGATAAGGATATATATGTTAGAGGGGATAAGGATGAAGAGATATTCTCTTCATCTTCATCTTCTTCTTCTTCATGTACGAGAGAGAGAAGAGCCAAGCTTGCAAAGGTAAGATTCCTTGTGTTGAGTTAATCGAATGCCGAAATTGGCCAAGAGGGGGGTGAATTGGCAATAAAAATTTTGTGGAAGCTTTTGCAGAAAATTGAAAGTAATTGCACAGCGATTTACAGTGGTTCGACTTTCTCAAACAAAGTCTACGTCCACTACCTTAGCTATCCACACTAAGGATTTTCCAACAAATTCACTAATTTGTTCTTTCTTTTGAGGCCAAAGAGATAACCTTACAATTCCCTCAAGAGTATACCCCAACACTTGAGAACACTCTTTTCTCAAAGAGAAGATTACAAATTTGCAAACTTACAAGAAAACCTCACAAGGTAAGATGTTTGCACAATTCTAGAATAAAGAAAAGAACACTCAAAGATGAATACAATTGAGCACAAAAAGTGTTCTTGAAAGCAAAATGAATATTGAATGAAAATAGGCTTGAAATGCTCAAACTTGAGGTTTGATGCTTTCTCTTTGATTCTCTCTTGATTCTAGTTGCTTGATGTTTCTTGTTATTGATCAATGGCTTCTAAGCTTGCTTAAATACACCTTGGATCACTTCTGAACGTTGGGGATGATTAGAGAAGATATTATAGCCGTTTTAGTGTGAAAACATTTAATAAAATAGCTTGGTGTGTGGGGGGAATCGGTTCCCCCTTGAAGGGAATCGGTTCCTAAGTGTAAAATTCAAATATTTCGACCGTTGTACAAGGGGGGAATCGGTACCCCCTTGGGGGGGATCGGTTCCCTCCGAGCATTCTGGAAATCTCGGAGCCAAACCATTCAGGGGGGAATCGGTTCCTCCTATGGGGGGGAATCGGTTCCCTCTGAGCAATCTGGAATTTTTGGCTTTGAATTAGTTCGAAATACTTTGTAAAATTATTTTGAAATTGTTTTATGATTAAAACTTAATTTTACACTTAAGTAAGGATTAAAAATGATTTTTGAAATATTTGGAGTAATGTTTTGATATTCGAATAGTTATATCGAAAATCATTTGGAAAATCTTAAAATCCATTTAACTTAATTTGTTATATCGAAATATCAAAATGTTCAACAATCTCCCCCTTTTTGATATAACAAAACATTTTAGTAATTTTAAGATTTTTGAAATCAAGTTTTGAAATTACTCCCCCTTACTTTAACACTTCTTCAATTTATCAAGTAAAACATTTAACACTTATTCTTCTCCCCCTTTTTGTTAAATCAAAAAGACATTGTAAAACAAGGTTTTGAAATCATTTAGCCAATTGATTTATTAATTATAAGCTTAAGCTGCTAAGATCATAATCAAAAGAGAGGTTAGCCATTAGTTTCATAAATCAATATTCATAAATAATGTGATATGGCAAAATTGGTCATATTGCTAATGATGATGCAAAAATGAATAAAACATATAAGTTCACACTATTCATAAATCCAAAATCCAACAATCCACAAAATCAAACAATCCAAAATATCCAAAAAGTTGAAACAATATTCATTTTGTTCAAAGTTGTAAAGCTAAACACAAAATCAAGCATCCGGATCGGTAGGTGGAAAACAGGCTCGCATAGCAGCCATTTCATGAGTTAGTTCATTAATACGAGCATTGGTTGCTTCATTGTTTGCACGCATCTCCTGAAGAATCTCTAATTGTTGAGCTCTCATTGTGGATAAATGAGACTCTATAGAGGAAAAGCGCGAATCCATTGTAGCATAACGGAAATCAAATGTCTCCATAAAGGATTGAAAATATGGAGGCATTTGAGTCGATTGTTGTGCGTGCTCCTCGGGTTGTTCAGGTTCTTCTTCAGCTTCATCAATATCCCTCATTAATTGTTCAAACTCGGGATCTTCGTCAACTTCGGGTGGAGCTTGTGAAGAACTAGCTCCCGGAGTAGAAGATCGAACCCATGCACCGGTTTCCTTATTTTTTACCCATCCCGCTCTTGTTAAAGAAAGAAGATTGATTTGTTTCTTAAGAGGAAATGAGGCATCTAGACCAACTCGGAGTTCAGCTTTAGAAAAGAGATTACTAAGAATACAACCGTAAACTAGTGAAGAACAGAGTTTCTTATTTGGCACTAGGTTAACGGTTTCAACAATTTCAGCAAAGATAATCTCGGAGAGGTTTATTTTTATATTGTTTTCAAAACAGTGCAACCACCAAAGATCTAAAGCTCTAAGAGTTGAATATCGACCCCCGGATGGTCGAAACCACCAAGTGATCATGAGATGAAGGAAATGCTCATGGAGATCTAAAACACTTGCACTATCATTCCGTTTATATCGTGAGCCTAAAACTTGTTTTTCGTTTGATAAACCTTCATTATCCAAGCCTAAGGCATTGGCTATGTAATCCGGATCAAGATGGAAATATTGACCTAGGAGGTAGGAACGCACTCCTATGGTTTTGGTTTTGTCACGATTTTTGATACAAACGGCATTACAGTAGAAGATACGAACAAGTTGATGATAGACAATGGGTTCAAGTTCGAAAAGTTTATCAAATTTCCATTCGTGTAAGATAGGGAGATATTTAAAGTTAATGTCAACCATAGTTTGAAGAGATGGGATACGTTCTTCCCTGATCTTATACGAGTCAAAATATTGGTAAAACCAATAACGATAATCTTTAGGACCCGGTTGATTGAAACAAGAATTTTGGATAGTCAAGTTAGGATCAAGATTTGGAATAGGATTTTGAGGAATAGGAGGAGGATTTGGTTGACGACTAGAACGACTAGATGAAGACCTAGGACGTTTAGGATTTGACATGGTGAAGGAAATCGGAATAGATAGAATAACCTGCAATTTTAAAACAAATGTATGCAATTCAATTAATCCCAAAACTCAAATGAGTCCTCAATATTTCAAGATTCTCTAAATCAATCCTAATGGGCAAAGTTTTTGAAAAACTTTTGAAAAATATGGTTTTGAGAAACAATATATGTATAGTTTTTCATAACAACAACATAATTTAATCAAAACACAATAATTTGAAAAATAACATTTTTTTTATTTCGAAAATTTGAAAATT